CATAGCACTGCAAATGACGTAATATGAGGAAAAAATAAAAATTCATTACATCCTGTCACTCTAATGGGTCGAAAACTGAACCTATACTGAAAGAAAGGAAACTAAGGCGTTTGTACAATTAATTTGTACAAGGGTGTATGTGTGTGTGTGTGTGCATGCGTGTGTGCCTGTGTGACTCACCGCTCGTTTTCCAAGTATGGCTGTGTGGTGAGTTAATCCCTATTACAGACGCCTACTCATGCAGATTAGGGTTTCTGAAATACCCACAGACCAAACTATGCTGAGCGGATCTTATAGTTTCTGGGAGATACCAATTACCAGTATGAACAAATTGGCAGTGGTGAGATTCGAACCGTTTCTCATGGTCGAAACGCTAACGTTCAATTCAACTCCAAATATCTAGATGACCACTGACTTTCGGTTGATCTCCCTTCCCAGATTTAACTTTCACAGCTTCATGGGTGGGAAGACTGGCTGATATTCATCAGATTCAAAACTACCCGTAAAAACTCAACACAATGGGCAGATACTAAGCCTGCACCAGTCCTGATAAGAGGCCATGCCCTTGAATAGGCTCCTTGCCTCGAACGCCTACTGGAGCTAAATCTCACTGCCGATCTTAACAGATGCTGAGAGGATGGTCAGTTCGTTTTGTCGCTCTAGAAAATACCTAACTCCCAGATCAGACCAAAAATGCCCGTGCGGGGTAGGACGATAAACTAACAACAGCAAGGCCTTTGATCAGGAGCTATTGAGGAGCATGAAACCACCTCTTAACTGCTGGTATTCCCAGATCCGCCCTGACTCGGGGTCGTAGCACTTGTTAGGATCTCAGCTACGGGCAAATAGTTAACTCCCAAACTGAGCTCAAAACGCTATGAAAGTGTAAAAATAGGTTTTAATACCAGAAATTCTTTGTAAAAAATTATTAGCAGCAATACATTTATAAAAAAAAATATTACCAGCTGTACATGTTTGAAAAACAAATATTACCAGCAATACATTTTTCAAAAAAAAAATTACCAGCAATACATTTTTTGAAAAATATATTTCCAGCCAAGGAAAATTATTACCAGAAATAGATTTTTGAAGGAAAAAATATTACCAGAAAAAGATTTTTGAAAAAAACATTGCCAACAATAAAAATTTTGTCGGAATTAAACAACTCATTGAGGTTGATATACCGTAAAACAAAACAAACCAAACAAAACCAGACCAAAAATGGCGTATTGTTGTCATATCTGGGGTGGTGTTAATCAATCCACACTGTCTAGCCTCCTTATGTTGATGTTGAATCAGTATCCGCACTGTAACTCTTAGCAAACGAAAGGAATTAAAAACCAGACTTTTACTACTATATCACAGTTACTATAGCAGATATCCGAACCAGTTATGTCCCTTAGTGCCGCCAGTTCGTGCCTTCATATCTAGGACCCGTTATACTGTCTTCACATTGACAAGCCGCCACTATTCTCTTCGTGTTCATTTGATAAAAGTTTTCGCTCAGACAGATTTTTCCACAGAAATGAGACTTTCTGGGGAAAAAACACATGAGAGAATACTTCCCTGATAAAAATTATCTTCTTTCTAAATCCAGGGTCAACCGGTATCTACTTTCCTTGTATTTATAATACTCGCTAACCTTCTCCCTCCTTGGGCGTTGTATTAGGTGAACTATCAGTATATATATATATATATATATATATATATATATATATATATATATATATATATATGTGTGTGTGTGTGTATATATCTGTGTGTATATATGTATATATATATATATGTGTGTGTGTGTGTGTGTGTATATGCATGTGTGTGTATTATTGCAGTTTATTTTTTGATAACTATATAAATACAAATTTAAGAAATCAATTAAGAGGGAATAAAGATAATTAAAACTGACTATTTAATAATTGTCAATATATTAAGTTTTTGTACAAAGTAGTTCACATTAGCACACCTTTCAGATTTCTGGCTTTTCAAACAAGGGTACTGAACGACATATTTTCATGTTTGGTTTGATTTGTTTTACGGCATATCAACATCTCAATGGGTTATTTAATGCCAACAAAATTTTTATTGCCAGTCATATTTTTTCCAAAATATATTGATCGTAATAATTTTTTTTTTAAATGTCATTTGCTGATAGTAATTTTTCTAAAAATGTATTTTGATGGCATTAAAAGCTTATTTTACACTTTCATAGTGTTTGAGCAGAGTTTGGGGGTTTAAATATTTGCCAATAGATGGGACCCTAACTGGTGCTACCACCTCGTGTCAAGGTGAACCTGGGAACACCAGCAATTAAGAGGTGGTTCCACTTTCCTCAAAACCGCCAGATCAGAGGCCTTGCTCCTGGATGTAGTTTATCGTCTTGCCAGGGATGGCATATTTTCCTGTCCCTGGTTAATCAAAGAGAATCAAAGAGAATGACACGGCGAAAAGATTCAGCTAATAACTACAATTAGCGGGTATGGATGCAAAAGTGTGATTAACCCTTGCACGTCAAGTTTACAATTGGAAGTACTTGACGAAGAATGTTGGATGATGGATCGGTAGCTGAGAAGGAAATCCTCGATTTTTATCAGTAGTGCTTCCGAGGGAACACTCATTAGCGCAGCTTTAAAATTAACGATGAAAAAATAAATAAAAAAAAATAATGGATTCTAAAATGTTCAACAGTTGTCAAGCAGAAAATCTTGCAGAAACAAGAATGATAAAAAAAGAAAATAAATATCTATGCGGAGATAAAACTTTTGCTCGAAACTATATCTGATTGTAGAGGACTTACCGAAAGCGAAACAGAAAAATACGCCAAGATGTGCATCGCGGTGATTAATGAACCAATTCAGTCAGCACAACACAGGTTGATTGGCTGATGTTAGGATAGGTTAACGATTGTCGAGTTATTCAAGATTGAATTTGGTATGGGGCAACCAGTGAAGATCGAAATAACTCTTAATATTCAACCAAACTATGTTCGATAACAAGCATCCCACGCACAGGCGTACGTCCTGGGTATAACGATAAACTACATTCGGCATCAAGGACTCTCTGATCGGGAGCATTTGATGAGCGTGGAACCAGCTCTTCCCAGGTTCACCCTGACCAGGAGTGGTAGCATCTGTTAAGAGACCCTGCTATGGCAAAGAGTTAACTCCCAAACTGGGGTTAAAACGCTATGAAAACATAAAAATATAAGCAATACATTTTCATAGTAAAAAATTAAAAAAAAATTACGTGCAATACATTTTTGTAAAAAAATTAAAAATTACCAGCAATTAATTTTTGTACAGAAAATTACTCATGATCCTATAAATGACCTATAAGGTGTTGATGTGCCGCCGAACAGATAAACAAACACTGAGGCATCTATTTAGACATGTTGGCTGATTTTACGTGTTAACCCTTGATGGATTATTTTAAGTCAAAATTTGCATTAAGAACCGAGTGAATATTTAACTATCCTATGATCAACAAAACTACACGCGTTAATCAGTACACAACGCCGTGAGCTGTGTTCAGTTAGGTTGACTGGTTTTACGATAGGTCAAAATTGCTGGGTTATTTCAGCCTGATGTTTTAATGAAACATCCAGTGACAATAGAATTTAATGGTCTAACAAGTATCCCTGTTGATGTAACTATTGAGTTAGGCTGGCCAATTTTACGATATGTGACGCCTTGCTGGGTCATTTCCGGTCAAATTTTGTATGGAACGTCCAGTGAGGATCGAACCCTCACTTAATGGCCAACCAGAGTATTCTCACTTCAAAGGCCCACTTACCTAGACTGACCAATTTTACGATAGTTCAGCTCTTGCTCGGTTATTTAAGTTCAAATTCTATATCAGGCACCCAATGAGGATCGAACCCATGCTTAATGGTCAACCAGACTATCCTCCATATATAGTATCGACTATTGAGAAAGGTTGGTCGATGTTACGGTATGTCAATCCTTGCTGGGTTATTTAAGTTCGAAATTTGTATGGGCCACCTAGTGAGGATCAGACCTCTCTACTCAGTAGTAACAGCCAGCACAACTAACCACGCTAACAATTTCATTTGTTTAATGTCGAATTTTGTATGGCGCACCCAGTGAGGACTGAACTCACTACACAGAATTAATGTTCGTACAGACAAGCACTTTTTACGATTATTACTCGCAACCGGGGCAGTTTTCGAAAACAAGACGTTAAAATATATTTCTTTCATGGAAAAACCAAAAAAGCATTTGCTTGTTCTTAGTTGTGGGTATTTCAACAGGCCACAAATTTAGGATAAATACTATAAAAATGTTGGGAGTTCACCAGGCAATCAAATCATGTGGGTGAGGTCGTGTTTATAATAATTAGCTCCGTTTAAACACTCCCCAAAGTACGAGAGACGCGCGTGAGGGAAGTGCGGGCTTGGAGAACATATTAAAGTGGTTTAGTCTATGGGAGTAATGAGCACTAAAAAAAAAAAAGAAACAAACAAACGTTGGCGAATATGATCTGAAAGTCGGTCTTTTGAGCCCATCGTCAACTGGCATGCACGTCTTCAGTAAACATTCAAATTCAAGAAAATAATAGAAATAATACTGGCATTTAGAACAAATATAGCAGCAACATTATCGTAAACTGTAATCACGTGCACAATAGTGAATAATCAAAAGAAGATAAAATTAAAAATCCTAAGAGAATATGAGCAACAATTATGACAGCAATGACGGGTATTTCGTAAATATGAAAATACGTTTGTAATTAGAAGAGATCACGTTTGAGAGTAATTGGAATCCGGTGTAATTGGCACATGGAATCAATAAACAAGACGGAGTGAGAGAAAATCTCGTTAGAAAAAAAAACGTGACCAAAATAATTACAGTTTTCGACTGAACGAACGAAGGAAAAGAGATTTAAATGAAATGAAGTTGATTGCCTTTTAGAAATATGCATTCGATTTGACAGCAGCTTTGCATCATAACAACGTTTGTTATCTATATATCTATCTATCTCAGTCTATTTCTTATCTATCTATCTATCTATCTATCTCAGTCTATTTCTTATCTATCTATCTATCTATCTATCTCAGTCTATTTCTTATCTATCTATCTATCTATCTATCTCAGTCTATTTCTTATCTATCTATCTATCTATCTATCTCAGTCTATTTCTTATCTATCTATCTATCTATCTATCTGTTGAAACTTGACTAATGCATGGAATAATAATGCAACACAAAATGTACTTAGACCAAAATGTATTGAAACAAGAAAGTGTACACAATATTTACATAACCCTCTATGCGTGTTTATCCCTAGTAACTTCGAACATTCCTCTTTTCTTTCTAAGTCGATTTTTGAAAATATAACTTCACCATTTAGCTTATTAAAAATCTCCTCCGGACTCGGTAACGGGTAATGGTAGTCCTTAATTACCGAGTTCAACCCTGTCGAAAAATCAACGCAGACTGACTTGGTTTGATTTCTTTTTTATGCACACAATCGGAGCAGCCCATGAATTAGATTCTACTTTCGAAATAATTCCCATTTTTCCAACCTATCAAGTTCTTCGTTAATTTTCTCTACACTTGCGAAAGGCACGTTACGTTTCTTTTTAAAAATTGGCATAGTATTTTCCTTTAATTCAAATTTAGCTTCAAACTTGTTACATCTTCCAAGACCAGGTGTGAAGGTTTCCGGAAACTTTTTCTTTAATGTCCTGTCTTGTTTGCGAATTACTTTCTACTTTTCTGCAGAATGAGTTTAACGGTTTATCCCACAATTCGAATGTTTCAATAAAATCTGTACCCATCAAGTTTTCTCCATTTTTCAGAATGAAAACTTTTATTTTTTTAACTATCCCGTTCAATTTCATGGGAAGTACAACCTCGCCTTCGATGTTAATTTCCTTTCCAGTTACCGTTCGAGCGCATTTCGTTGACTTCATTGTTGTAGGCCTTTTTAAAATTTTCCATATTTTATAGTTCATTATTGTTAAATCTGAACCCGAATCGGGTTGAAATTTAATATTCTTTTTAAATATTTCAGTCGTCACATATTTCCTCAAATCTCTATCTGATTTTATATTTGAATTTGTTTGTCTAATTCGGCTATTGACTTTTTCGTTGTACAACACGATCCTTTGTGTCCATTCTTGTGACACACGAAACATTTCCTATTTCTATATGGGCAATTTACCTCCCAGTGTCTTTCGTTGCAACGTCTACAATTATATGGTGGAAACTTTTTTTCCTCCTCGTTCTTTTCATTGAATTTTTCTTGTCTATTTTTTAAATAAGCCGAATTTTTACTCCAATTTTTTGCTGATGGGTAATTTGACTGTTTTTTATTTTTTTAATATAAGCAATGCCAGCTTCTTCGATTTTTTGAGACTCTTTCTTTAAACTTACGGCCCGAATTTGTAGGTCTGATGAATTGGATCGTATTTACGATTCCAATGGAATAAGTTATGACCATGGAATATTAGTCTTTAAGCCTATTTATTATATATATATATATATATATATATATATATATATATATATATATATATATATATTCGAATATGTTCATATTTACACTGACATGTGATCGCGTACTTAGAATTTTCGCGTTCCGGCCATGAGAACTGAGTTGAATTTCACCCTGGGGATGCTGTACCAGCGTGTGCCATACGAGCAGTACGAATTCTTGTGTGTGAAATTCGGTAAAAAGAAAAGTCCCGAAGCCGCCAATGATTGTTGTCATACCAAGTCACAATTCACCATGGCCGTGGATTTGAGCAGATCACGACAGGTTTTGCACTCTTACCTGGAAACAGTAACTTAAATCCGCTCAGCCTTGTATGTAAACCATTTGGTTCTGTGGGTATTGAATTTAAACAAACACAAATATGTCAGAGCAGGTTTCTCCAAACGGACATTGGTTAGACTAGTATGCTTGAAAATGCGAATCAATCTATCTATCTATCTATCTATCTATCTATCTATCTATCTATCTATCTTAGCCTCTGTATATCTGTATCTACCTATTTAATGGGACCCTAATATATGTTTATCACTAAATAGATAATTACACTAATCGCCATCTTTATTATCTATCTTTATATCTATATTTCTGTCGACCAATTCAAATTCTTTTATATCTATAGATTTCTCGATATCTTTTTAAAAATCTATTTATATTCGTCTAATTTGTATTGCATGATTTATTCATATCTCAAGTAATACAGTTCATTCACATTTATCTCAATCTATTTAAACTTGGAGATTTTCCAAGTTAGTTCAAAGACTGTCTGTCATTTATTTTCAACTAGCTTAAAAGCATTTTATCGGGTGGCATTTAAGCTAGTTCCCGCGATTAGGCCCCCGGCTTGTTCAGGGGTTTGAAAATTCTTAATTCTCAGCATTGGAAGCTCTCTTGGCGGTCGTTTGATCCGAGCTTTCATTTGCACAGGACTTTCTTTTCCTTGCTGCAGCCTTGACTCTTTTGATTGCAATCTGCTCCTCTGTTGGCGGAGATTTCTTTTTGTGAGGCATAATGGTATCGTATGCGATAGGCAACAACTGCGGAAGAACACGAAATTGATCGCTGCATTTCAGTTTTGCATTATGTACGTCTAGCCTTAACTTCCATACCAACACTTACTTTTATTTCATGGGTGACATGAGATTAATTTAAGTTATTCTCAAATTTATTTCCAAGATATAAAAATTGCTATCGTAATTCATCGCAAAAAAACACGTAAGAAATCGCCGAAAACAATCGCAGTAATGAAACTTGGGAATCCAGAATTTCAGGTGACACACACTAAAAAGTTAGAGAGTTGTGCCCCTTTAATTATTTTTATGAATAGAAGCTAAGATGGCGGAATCTGAAAACAATAGCAGTAATGAAAACTTGGAAATTCAAAATTTCAAGATTGTGTTTACGGATCCGACCCCAGAATGATTTTAATTTGCTCACAGAGTCGGCCTGATTCCTAAATGGTATACGTTGGGCTACGTCTTCTAGGATTAAAATGTGTGACATAGTGACATGCTGATATTTGCATTTATTATTTTCAATGAGATTTGGAATTATTATTTTCAAAGAAGCAGGTTGATGCATCGGAATCTTATAATACATAACAGTCAATTCCGAATCAATTCATAGTTTTAAATCAGCAATACCTATATTTTATAAATACCTAAGCAAGTCAGTTGGTAGATAATTAATTGTGTCTATATTCTAGGGGCGATATGTTTCAAATCTAATGTTGGCGTAGCAGGTAAAATGGACGGCTTTGTGACCAATCCGAAACTCCTATACATTCAGCAGAGCCTTAAACACTACTACTGCTATATGTGTGTTAAATTATATGTGTGCCTGTATGTAGACTTACTACAATATATTAGTTTGTTCCGATCAATGGGAAATAAATAGCAGTAGCCATCTGATCTTTTACACGATTTTTTTTTTCAGAAATATATAATGTCAAGGTGATGAACAAGTGTCCAGAGGAGGCCCCATTTGGCACTCTGCAAACTTTAAGGGTCTTAAAATATTTAATATGTTGGCGAAGAGGTGGGAAAATTTTGAACAAATGCAGACATACATATTAATCACACTCCCTGCCAAAACTCTGGACGATCTGTCGACTGGGGCTTCAGAACACGTCGACTGCACCTCTGCATAGCGGTAAGACACTCCCCAATTATTCCGTCTGTTTGCTGTTGGTGGCGACCCAAAATGTTTGGGGAGGAATCCTGTTGATTGAGGGCTTCTTATTTGGACTAGACGTGCGGTTAAAGATTCCCGATCTGATTAATCGGCTCATGACAAACCCTAGTTCCTATAAATATATCAATTTATAGAGTATTTTATAACTAAATAAATATCCGAAATATACACCGGGATAAAATACCAATTCTATCCAATTTATAGGCGTTAGAAGGCGATGACTGAGGCTCAGTCGCTTCGAATATATCTAGATGTAGACATGGCTGCGAAGACAGTATGTACACTTATTTGGGAAGTGCAACAAATTGTTTAACGGGTTCACTGAGTCTTTCTCGAATACAAGTATACTGATTTGTGTAGCCATGATCTCTGTGACTGGGCTTCACCCTTGAAGTGTCCTCATCTGACGTGGGTGGAGAGAACAAACAATGAATCTTAATACTAAAAAAATAATGTATAATCAAAATAAAAAGCTCAAAAAATGTCTTTGAGACTCTGGTTTTGAAAAAGAAATCAATAACGAATTTCCAAGTTTTTTAGTGCTCACGTTCCTAGAAGGAACTCCGCGTGGAAAACCATTTTTCCTTTCTTGATTGAAAATGTACTATACAGTAGGCTTAACCCTAAGACTGTAAGAAAGTTGAAAGATGGCAATTTGCTGGTTGAGGTGGAACACAGGAAACACGGAGAAAATATAATAAAGATGATGACATTTCATAATATCAAAATTAAAACCTTCCCTCATGCAAGGCTGAATACTTGTAAGTGAGAAGTATAGAGTAGTCTCTGGCCACACCTGAGGAAATTACATCTGCCTTAGGAAGTCAAAGGGGGTCAGTGATTGTTATAGAATCTAAAATAAAAGAGAAGGCGAAACAATTATAACTGACACATATATCCTTACTTTTGTCACACCTGAAATCCCCACAAAATAAAAAAAAGGTATAATATTGAGCCAGTGGAATTATATATCCCTACTCCATTAAGATGCTTTAAGTGCCAACAACTTGGACATCATAGGGATATGAGAAATGTGGCCAAAATTGTTCAGACTATTCTGAAGAAGAATACCACGATGAAATATGATTTGCTAACTGCCAGGGAAGACATCAAGCATACTCAAGAACATGCGGTTTCTGGAGAAAGGAAAGGGAAATTGTTGAAGTAAAATATAAAAGAAACATTCCCCATTTTCAGAAGCAAGGTAAGTCGTTGACAGTTACATGACAGGCTCTTCCTAAGCAAAAATAATGAAAAATAAACTACAAATGCCGGTCAGCCTCACAAATACAGAGCCCTCATTAAAAGCCTCGTACACTTGAGACCAAATGATTGGCCAAAATTTCAAACCTACCTAAAAAGTCTATATTCCAAGGAGATGTTGCAGGGTGAACCGCAAAAGAAGAACGCTGAAAGAACTGAAATAATAAGTAAAGGAAAAACAAACAGCAAAGCGACAGCTCAAACACAAACCACTCCTAT